TGCTATGCTAGTAAAGCCTGACTGACTCAGAAATCTCTATGGCAGCTTCTCCTACATCAAGCTAGACTTCCAGAACCAGCTAAGCTATAGCCCAGCTATAAAGGAAACAGACGCGTAGCATGGAGCAGATTTATTCAGTACCCATATTGCTGATAAAGTGTACACGCAGGGAGCTACTCATGGTCAGGATGGCGGATTAGGTTAAACAAACGGAGGCTACGGATTGACCACTGTTTTTACGGTAGCTGCACGCAGAGTTGTAAGGCCGCATCTCCCAATCCTGGCGTGCAGACATGCGATGACGCACAAAGCGAAACGTGTCCCACCGAGTTTCTCTTGCAGTAATTTACGCAATTCCAGATGATTACTCCAAAGTATTCCACTAGTTTTAAGAACTCACTTTTGGAATGATTGAATTAAAGACGAAATTGCCAATGAAATAAGTATTTAATAATACACAAGCTTACATCCTCCCTTTGACAATAAAATTTACTATAATTTATACTCTGAACCCCTATGATCTACTTAGTTCTCAAATTGAACTTGCGCTTCAATCTCTAGCTTTTCGATCAAAAATCTGCAGCATTATCAACTGTTACCAATAAATATGCTGGCTTTTCAATAGTTTATCGCATTAAATACTTGATGAATTTTCAAATCTTCCCTCACTAACTTAAAGCTTTAATTTACTCGCTTTCTCCCCTTGACTGAACTGAGCACTTCTGGTGATTGCTTCAGTTCTTTAAATTTAATGCATTTAATACTGTCTGGGTTACTCTGCGTTGAAGATTTCGTGTCTTCTTTTCAATGGAATACGCCACAAATTACACAACTCTGTGTTCTGCCCATTTTGCAGTGTGGTGAAGTAAGCCTTAGTGCGAAGAAATTACTATTTATATCAAATGGCAGGCATTTTGATAGTTATCATAAGCCCTTTAGTTGACTTCAGGCTTCACAGAGAAGAAGGAACATCAAAGTGAAAAAAAGTCGAGAGGGGGAGGGGAACAGAAGAGTATTTCAAAGATGTAAAAGAGAGAGACACAAAGGTAGAGTGAAAAAGATGAGGTGAGTACTGTGGAAGTAGTCGAATATGACATACAGTGAGGTGATGGTGTTTTGAAGTCGGAAGTCAACTGCCGAATAATAGACTTTTTTACCGTATGAGTATACGTTGACCAGGGTGCACCACGTGGAGGTAAGTCTATCACACACCCCGCGAAGAAATTACTTGTCTGATCCTTTCAGCTTCTTTTACTAAGTGTTGCACGTTGCCGACATCGCAATTGACAAAAAATTGACGTTCTACCGAATTCACTTTCTAATATATACGTTTGGGTACTCCTAATGATCGAATGGCGATTTCAGTTTCAGTTCGTATGAAGTAAAAAAAGAAATCAACATCACTTAGAGTACTTTTAAATAGCCTCTAAAACAACCTGTTTCCCATTTACTTAATTCTGCCACATAAATCCACTCCTCTCAATTCCTCTCCCACCCCCCTTACTAAATCCTCCTTTCCACTCTTATTTCATCACACGCTCCAAATGGTCTCTGGTCATCTGATTTGTTAAAGGCCGTTATTTCTTGTTTGAATCTATAGAACATATCTGGGATGATTTGGTCAGGCCCTTAAAGTTATTATACTGGTGAGATTCAATGGTGGACAAAAGGCCTAAACCAGTTGTATAGATTATTTATCACCATTAACCCTCTCTACCACCCACTTAGTTTCTTTCTACATTGGTTTAGCTTAAGTCTATTATCTGAACTTTTTCAAGTTATGGTGCATTTAAAACCGTTATAAGTGCATCCGATCTGCGAAGGTTATATTGAAGAAAATTTACATGTAAGAGCGCTCTTTGAATCAAAATGCACTAACTTTGTCACTAAGGAAATAGGGTATTTATATAGCGGATAATTTACAATTAAAAGAACTCGGTCACTAGTCTCTCGGTGGTGGATGGGCAAGAGAAGTTCTTGAAGTAGTCGAACTGAAGACTCACTTCTTTACAATTGCGAGATAATAAGTCCAATAGAAAATATTATACATAATGTAGCAAGTTGGGAATAGAAATCGACTATATGCATCGATGTCCGATTCAACTGCAACAGGGATTCTATTCTTTTTGCCTCCTGGTCCCTTCTTTGTTCGAGTCTCTTCAACCACTGAATGAGTTAAGAAGGCATCGAGATCGTTGAAATACGACAATTGTTGTTGGATAAATGCCTGATCACCACACATACCCCCTGAGCCTTGAATACTTGCCATTTGACCTTGCTCACAAGCTGTTAGCCAACGAGTCAACTCTTCCTTCACAATCGATTCAACATCACCCCTCCATGTTTCTTTTCTCTTCTGCCTAAGCATCGTTATTGCAATAGCGTATTCCACTAAGACGCCAATAACAAATATAATAGAGAAAATCAACCACAAATCGATAGCCTTGATATAAGACACTCGGGGAAGATTTCCCGTAATGGAAGATGCTTGAGTTAACAAACCCAGAAGACTGAGAAGTCCTAATGGGACTCTTGCCGGAGCAGCATCCACGGAAACATAGAAACTCAACCATGAAACCATGATAATGAGGATATTTGGTATGTAAGTGGTAACCAGATAACTTCCCAACTGACGTTTCAAAGTGAATTCAGCCATCAAACAGGTGTAATTTCCCGTAGATGTAGAGGATTGAGCAGTACAATCAAAGGTTGTGAAATTTGTTGGGGTATTGAATTCAGAAAGTTGGAGATTGCTCTGCAGTTCAACAGGCTCCTTCTCTCTCCAAATAAATTTGAGTTCACTCAGAGTATAGCCATAGCTGCCGATATTCATATGACAATACTGTGTATCCATAGGAAAAGTTGATAGATCCATTTGACACGAGAATCTCATTGTGATTTTTTGGCTGTAGAGAACCTCACCATTTGGATGAACACGAAGCAGAAAATTCGGAAGAGTCATTTTATGAAGGTAACCATCTTTCCCGTTTCGAAAGAATAAATCGGGCGTCCAAATATTGTCTTTTAGCGTCGGAGAAACGAGAGGTTGTGTGTAGTTTTTGAAGTCTTCATGATGATCCCAGGCCAATCTTGGGTCAACCCAGGTTTGTCGAAGCAAGGCATCAATGTAGTAATCCATTGTTCGTACATCGACAGAGAAAATAGCCAAAACTTTCATATTAACAGACACTTCCGTGGGAATATCTAGCTTTTCTGAAGGCCTTTCGTTAGTTCTGTAGGTTTTGAAGAGCATATTCACTAGCCTATCACGTTGAGTGACCGCTTGAGCATCAGTCTGAAGGCCAAGAAGGTCAGCTCCGTAACCTTGACCTGTGTTGAATGTCTCATCACGTCGATTTAGGGTTTCGTGGGCATTTTCAACTGGGCCCGGCTCGGTAAATGGGAAAACACCAAATCCACCATCCAGCTGCCCTCTTGAATATTTCAGGTGGAAAATTATCAATGACCAAAGCCAACAGCGAGTAAATCGGTCAGCACAGTACATTCCGTGCTAAACGTTATCGCGGTGAACCAAGAGGCGTACAAATGAGCAGAAATATTTGGGTAGTCATCATTGGCTCGTCCAACGTCCTAGCTTTCAATTACCCCAGGGTTGGCTAAAAGTAAACTGTAAACCACTTTAGCCAATGAAGTGGTGCACCTGTCTATGCAGTTGCCTGTCTGTATATCTCATCTTGAGAAGAAAGTAGGATCTAAAGAATGAATAGTATGGTAAATCAGTGAGGCTATATAGAATTTCTTTGGGCAGAGGCCATTTATTGAAATGAGGTAAATCAACGTCGATCGTAAAATCAGTGGTTGGAGAAGGCTGTAACACTAAAAGCATGTAGAGTAGAGGACTGAGCAAACTATCTAGAGACCGAATTGGTTCCGTGATAAAATTGTGTCATTTATTTTTATGTTTACACCAAGGCAGAACCACTAATTAACTTTCCAGACCAACTTGAAAACATTTTGACGTGTTTTATGCCATTATTTTAATGTTAAAACCTTTAATTTAACTGTCTAAAACAGGCAAGATTGGCCACTGTAGAAAACACGTTCTTTAAATATATTGCAAAACTGTAAATGGAAAAAGAGAGAACTTATTTTGACCACTATATTTTTTACAATAAAGATGGGATTCGAATATCAACATCACATGAAATCGATGGTAACAGCTCAATAACGCAACGAGTCATTTATTTATTACTAAATATTGACATTAAATATTAGGTATAAGGTAAAGATTATCAAAATGTTTCCAATTGAATTAGAAGCATACAAATCAATTTTCGTTATGGAGTTTTACCAATACACACTCGGAATTGTGTAACAAAATTAATTAATTAGTTTATTTCAAATGGCAAATGTTTTGACGGTCATCATTAGCCCTTTAGCTGACTTAAGGTTTCACAGATGGGAGTAACATCAAGACGAGAAAAAATCGAGAAGAGGAACAGAAGAGTCATTCACATCGTTGATTTGGGGTAGGGATTTTGACCGAACCGAGGCCGTAATAGATGTTATTAGCGGTAAAGTTGAGGCAAACTCTTTCACAATGGAGAAATTCCCTTTTCAATGGAGCTTTTCCAGCCAACTTTCCTTCTTTCTAATGAATCTAATTTATCCCTAACACCCTGTTTTATTGCAACTGCTTTATGGTAAAATTTCCAAAAATATATTAAAAAATTCGATTACGTTTCCACAAGTTAGGTTAATTTATTAATATACCTTTTCTGGAAGCTAAAAAATTGCAGAAATTGCATACAAGGGTTACTTAAATAACCTAACCTAACGTTGTCAAAACTGTCATCAAAAGTAGGTGTGAATTTCAGGTCATTTAAGAAAACGGTTAAAGTTTTATTCTGAAATATTCAAAGTCTGCCAGCATTTATACTTTTTTATTTCAAAAACCTTAATTTTTTATTTTATCAACCCGATCTACCTTAAAAAAATTTCACGAGTTTAAAGAATTTCGACCACGAAACTGAAAATAAGTTGTAACAATTAAATTAATTTGACACGCTGACGGTTTATAGAATATACTTTTCAAGACACAAAATTAAGAACACGTTATGCAACCTTCTAAAGTAATTATGCTGAAGTATTTATGATACAGACTTCTGTAAACCTTAGTGCGATTCCTGGCCTTACTTACTGCGTCGTTTTTTACAAGGTCGCTCAACAATAGGATATTTTCCTTTAAGCATGCCTTAGATATTGGTTATTTCCTCTGATAGAGAAGAACATTTTACTAGGTTACGTAAGTAGCAGGTCAATTTCAGAAACGAAATAGTTTTGTTGCTTTTTGTATGAAGGTACAGATTTGAAATAACAATTTCCATTGGTAATTGAATTTGAAAACTAATGAAATTATTCCAAAAATGTTATAAATACAAACTTTTAAAAGCTTCAAAGTCCGAAACTAAATAATAAATTACAGAATTTTCGAGTAACCATACCAAAGCGTGCTAACAGTTTTATTTGATCCATTTTGTAAATGTAATGGGGGTTAAAAAACATTAATTTTAAAATTTAAAAGCGAAAGACAGACACAAATAAGAAAAGGGCATAAAAATGGATTTTCCCGGAAATTTGTAATGATCACATTTATTGCAACTTCCTCGAATTTTAAATACCAATTAAAAAAGCTTTAAACCATTTTCTCCCGAAGATTTCGACACTTATTTTGCTTTCAAGTACTTCTGAATTGTCGTACCTCAATTCATCCTGTTCAACCCTCCAAAACCGGCGTCACTGATGTCATGTTTACATGCAAAGTGTATCAAATACCGTCCACTCTCTGATATGATTGATTGAGTGTCGATGGCTGTCTGATCCAAGTAGTTTACTTCTAACAAATATTCAAATGTTAAATTTGCCATCTCACCCATTGATAAACTCTTTTACGACGCTGTCTAAAGCGTGCCTAACTCCCAGTCGTCAAGTTAACCTCAATCACCAATCTAAACAGCTGCCTATGATGCAATTATATAAAATAAGGTCATATCCAAGGCAAACTCTCTTGAATGCGCACCGAAAGTATTAAACAGAAATTAAATTCAAAAGAAAAGAGCACTTGAAAAACTTACTAACTTGTAAATTCGGGTCAATTTTACTGTTTGAAATTTGCCCTGGTTCCAACATGTTACCGAACGGACATTTAGTGTTCTATTTCTATTTGTTTTAAAGGACAAGAATGAGTCAAAGTTCTTCAAAATGTATGATGTCTTTGTGTTCTTTGCTAGACTCTTAAGGAGATATTCAAAGAAAAAACAGTAGCAGTTGCTACCCTGAGCTGAGTTTTCCAGAAGCAAAGCGACAAGCCTCAGTTGCTTCAGAATTATATTGTACATAATCTTAAAAAAAATCAACGAAGCTTGCAAATCTGTATGGTACCCCTCATAAATTCAAGAATTGATTATGAATATATTAAGTTATATGGGCACTTGATGAAAAAGATATCTCTAAAATCCTATTTCTTTAATTAAGCGACTCTCTGGGATATTTAATAGGGTACTTTGAAAAGTTCCTGTACTTCAGAGGGAGAATAAAAGATCATTATTCGCTCATAAAATGATAGGAACAGCTGCATAATGAGTGTAAGAAGGGCTTTTAAAACATATTTTCGCTCATATTACATTCTTAGCTTCTGATCTTACGTAAGTAATAATCTTAAGCACACATCTTGTAGTATGTTCATAGTAATTTACCATGACATCTTTGTGAAGCCAGTCCATTATTTTGACCCTTCCACATTAGAAATAAAAGTGTCTGTTCAGCAGACTTAGTGGGTTAAAACCCCGAGATGACAAATTACGCTCGTGCAGGTCCATAGCCTTTAGGAGTTAGTTCGGTAGATATCACTGGGAAACCCTACTGACTTTTGACTGAAATGGAAAATTTCCCACTTATCAAACACTAGAAATTGTCTTGAGTCACCACATTCTAAGGCAAACAAGAAAAGGAAGTTAGAATGAGCTTAACGGAACGCCAAGGAGGCTCTGGTTTGACCAGGTTGTAATATCTTTAGTACAGTTAATTCCAATCTCAATTGAATTCGGGCAAAATTAACTCGATTTGAAGGTTCGAACGGTATTCAAATGCTTCCAAAAGGTAAAGCAATGGTCTTACACTGAGCGCAGGAACGATTTTTTTCAATGGCAACAAACTAAAGGAACGTCAATTGGTAAATTTTTATGCATTTCACTTCTTATAGGAGACAAGGATGTTTGAAATACCACATATATGTGAATGTCATCACCAAAGTTTTCAAAGGATAAAGAGTTTGTTAAAAGCAACAGCATCGGGTGAGAAGAGAGGAAGGCGTTTCTCCAGGAAGCCATCAACCAAATTTCCATACTTTTCCTTAAACGATTTCCATCATTCAATAGCCACGCAGCCACTTAGTTGAAAAGCATAATGAATAAAAGTTTGCAATAAAATACTGACATACACAATGTAAAATAGCTAATTTTAAATCGAATCTAAAATGGGTCCTTATGTAGGAGTGAATTTTATAAATTTTTCCCATTTTACAGCAATGAACGATTGATGCATTTCGCTGAAATAAAGGAAGATGTTCTCTTAGTGATTAGGGAGCTCGAATAATAAGGAAAGACAAAGCTTTGAATCGAAGTCACAGAAAGTGGGGATTTCGATTAACCATAAAACACTAATAGTGCAAGTACTAAATGTGTAAAAAGTGTAACCGATAAGTGTTCCTTCTTTGGAAAACAGTTAAGTTGTTCTCCTACTTCGATGATTTTGGAATATTTAGAGATATATGAGGTTCATCTTCGGATGGTTTCCGATATGACTGTTCCCCTTCACCTTTATTCGAATCCCAAGTCGGAGAACCCATTATGTCTTTTGTTCGATTAGTTGCAGACCAACCGGTTTGGATGTCTGCTCAGCAAAATACCTATTTCTCCGAAAATAATTTGACTTTTGGAAAATCCTCTCGTAGACATATTCTTAAATAGTTAAACTATGGAAAAAAGAAAATCGATTTTTTTATTCCTAGACCAGAATACCCCTTTAAACAAACGATTGACTAGTTGTCTTTCTATCCGTAAAAGGCAGCCCTTTCTAAATATGAAGTTATGTAGATGCCTTAAAATTCAAGTTAATAAAATATGGGCATATATTGCTCATATATATATTGTGGTCAATTTATATTTATAACAAATAGGTAAGGGGA